GTTTCGCAAGCACGAGTGGCTTGCATCTTCAGAAGTGGTTTGCTTGAACGCTTACACTGTTCTCATCAGAACCCGCGTTCAGTTCTTCCTAAAAACCCGTTAGCTTCAAGGAATGGCCTCAAAAGTCTCTTTTGATATTCCAGAAGATGTTGTTGGTTGAGTGTTTGAAAGTTATTCCGCTCCAAGTGAGCTTTGAGCCAATTAACTTTCATATTGGTGAATCTTTGCCCTGCATTGGAAAACCAGGCGGCATCGTTTTGCTGCATAGTTAAAGATTCGGCCCGATCGCTCTCCACACCGGCGGAATTCCAAACAGCAACTTAACCTTCTTATTTAATCTGGAACAATTGGCGCAAAACGTCTTCTGAATCAACAAGCAGTCCTGTGCCGAATTTCGTGAATTTTCTGCAAACTAGCCGTGATGTTGATGGGTTCCGATGCAAAAACAGCCATTGCCATGAGAAAGGAACAGTTACTAATGTAATTCTGTCGAAACTAGTCAACATTCCTTCATGCCCAGTCCGCGAGAGGTCTTTGAATCGAGCATTACCTTGTTTCATGTGTAATTTCAAGCAGCTAATTACCGATTCCGAGGCGTGTACCAAAGACCTGCTTTTCAGTACCTGATCGGAACTTTTCGCCGTTTTTTAGAGCAGGCGTGCATAAATTGTTCGGGTACTTGACGGTGCCCCCATGGAACCGGCCAACCATTGTGTGGTGGACTCTCAATAGCGCACTCCCATTCCTATGCAAATCGCTCCGAATTTCGGTTTTGAGGTCTTCACCATGCTGTCGATGGACAGATGGATGGAGGTTGGTCACCATGACATAAGCGATCGCCCACGGGAAATGCGCGAATCGATTCATTTGTTTGCCCGTGTTTTTTGTTCCTCCTTCTGCAACATTCTTCGCATGAGGCGTAGTTCGCCGCCGCAGCCTCCTCAGCATTCCACGTGAATCGGCCATTCTGCGTAATAAAGAACGGAAATAGCTGAGCCGAAACGAGAAAAACCGAA